CGGCTGCTGACCACTGCGCGCCGCTCCGCCCCGCCAGCAGGACAGCGAGCGGCACTTCGCGGCCACCTTACGTTCTGCACTATTTACCCTCCATACCCCCCCCCCCCCTCTCCCTCCAACCTCCTTTATAGTGTCACGAGCGCCGCTGGGTAGGCCTTTCTGATCGGCGGCCCACCTCACTCTCTTTCTCACACAAACACGCACACACACCCGTACAGCCCTCCCTCCCGCTGTTTACTTTACACGTATCGGGGCAAACGGAGTGACAGGTAAAATGTAGCGAAAGAGGAGAGTGCGTGCGGTCGTGCGTGATACCTCGGGGCTGTTCCGGCGTGACCTACAAAAAAATAATTGAGAACTTTTGCTAATAATTATATCGGCCCGGGATATCGACCTTTCCCCCACCTTCCTTCTCCTTCTATCCACTTTTCCTTTTTCTTCCTTTCAGGTTTGCGTGTGTTTTGCGGGCCGGGAACCCTAGAAGCAGCTTTGCAGGAAAAAGCTTTCGACACGTTCAGCCCCGTAGTTATACCGTACAGTCATGAGCCCTAATTTCGGACAAAATTGGCTGTTTTTCGTGTGTTTCGTGGACACTTGATTGAGTATGAAAAATCTGTTGAGATTGGAGGTACTCTGGGTGAGGACCTACCGAATGACCCCCATATTGAATGTATAGCTCAACATGGTCAGCCAGTGTAGCCCTTTAAGTGCTGTCCGAAATTAGGGAGTGAAAGTGCTCTAATTCCGGGCACATGCCCTAATTTCGGACAAGTAGGTTATTTTTCTCCGAAAAACTACAAAAACACCATTTTATGATACTTAGGAGATGCCGACAACATTGGCGTGTGCGCGGTGTGTTTGTGTGTGTGTAGGGGGGGGGGGTGTCCGAGCACAGCTTTACAAATACATTTGTAAGGAAAAGCGAAAAAAGCATTTACGCTTACGCTTTTCCTTACTTTTGGCCCCCTATTGCCGAGGCAATTTGATAGTCACGACTTTTTCCAGTTGAGAGCGGGCAACTACTTGGTCGGTAAACCCATTGCACGGTAAAAAAATATTTTCCAACCCAAACTTTTCGCACAGAGGCTGCCGAAAACGGGCCCGGAGACG